CCACATGCCACCACGCCAAACCAAGACCTCCCAACGTGCAGCCGCCGACACCACCGCCGCTGTCGCCACTGCCGAACGTCTGCCTCCACCTCATCCGCAGCCGTTGCCTCAGCCACCGCATCCACTCCATCTTCCCCCAACCTGGCCCAATCCTCCAGCATCGATATGACCGCCGTCAACACCCAGTCTGTTGACAGCCTCACTCGCGAACTTACAGGCGAACAAAGATTCGAGCCCGTTGCCACCGATATCGCCACCCTCTTTCGCATGATGTCCTCTTTCCAAACGGACATCCGCGCGTCCATCACCAAAATTGAAGCCAATATCTCTAGCCTATCCAACCGTGTGACCTTTATTGAGCATCAAACCCCGACAATCACAGTGGTCACGACCACGACACCCACCTCTACGACCGTGCCCACCTCCACCGCCGTCCAGTCCCAAACCACTACCCCCTCCATCCAGGTAGTCACCACCACAACCCAAGCGTCCACAGCCGCCTCCAGCCACACCCCCCCGCCGACCTCCTCCACTCCTACTACCTCTACCACCACATCCACCACCTCTGCCTCCTCCACCCTTCTCCCCCCCTCATCCGGCGCATCCAACACACCGCCTCATTCCTCGCCCATCCACGTGACCCCTCTTCCCCCCCCGCACTCTCATACCCTTCCCCAACCCATCATGACGACCTCCACCATCCCCACCATCCGTCCCACCTATTCCCAAGTCACCTCTGGGGTTTACCCCGCAATGCCACAGCTCCCCCCCAACTACCTCCTTGAGGACAACAACCAACTCGACTACACCTGCTATGACACCATCCCCGATAACCTCAGCTTCAACGCCCTCGCCCGGATTGTTTCCCACGACGGGGACATCCCCCGTTCCTTCCGGTTCGACGACATCATGTCCTTCTCCTGCCTCCCCCACGAGGACGTTTTCCTCTTCCCAACCCAGCTCCAGAACTCTTTTCACCTCCACCACATGCCCCTTGCCCACTGACTCCCCATTGCCACCTCCCGCCTCCTCGGCAATGCTGCCAAATGATGGATGGCTGAAGTCAGCAACCGCCGATCCTCTGGAGGACCACATCACTCCTTCCTCCAATGGGCCAACCTTCTCACTGCCACCTTCCGCTCCTAGAAAACCATTGATGACTACCTTGAACAATTCTACCACCTCCGCCAGACCAGTCCCACGAACCGCTTCGTCCAATACGTCCGCTCCCTCCGCCACCACCTCCCCACCACCGTCATTCCCGACTTTGCGTTCATCTCCCGCATCAAACGAGTCTGCCACAAAGACCTTGCAACCGCCCTCGCCCACGAACCCGACATGCCCCTTGCTGACCTCCTCTCGCGCATGCTTCACCACGATCGACTCCTCCACCCCCATCACCAGTCCGCGCCCACTCCCTCCCGCACCCGCTTTTTCCATAACGACACCACTCCACCCACCTCCGATGACAACTTCGACATTGCTGCTCTCGACCCCTCCCAATTCACCATTGAGGACCTCCGGTCCGCCCACTTTACGCGGACAGAACGCCAGGATCGTGCCTCCCGACCGCCTTTTGCCTCTCCACCCCGTCGTCTCCAAAAACTCACACCCGCAGAACGCATATACCTCCAGGAACACAACGGGTGTTTTCGCTGCCGCCAGTCAGGTCATCAACAGACCAACTACCCCAACGCTAGCCGCTTTACTCGACTGGCCCCTCGCTCCACGGACCCGGCCCTTCTACTCCCACTTCTTCCTCCACCGCGATAGTCAGGCCTTCCCCCACATGAACACTGTCCCCCTGTCTCTTGCATCCTCCCCAGGCATCGACCACTTGTCTGCCGGCTCTCCCATCAGTGACGATCTCTCCTCCACCGGTGGCTCACTTGGCATCGACTATCCGTCTGCCTACGCCCCCTCCGGTGACGCACATCCCATCGGACGACCCTGGGCGACACAGTCTACTCCGTCTGCCCCCCTCCCGACGACGTCTGCTATCCCGTCGGTCGAGCATCCCACTGGAACCTGCTCTTCTACTTTCAACCCTAAACCCCTATATAAACCCTGCTACAACCTCGCAACCCCGCTCTACACACACCCTTGAACCCAGTCCACCCTCCCCTTGACCCTTATTCCTGATGTCTGATATGCCCTTGCCCTTGCCTAGCCTTGTCCCATTTGTCCTCTCCACTACCTTGTCTCTCTTGTCCAATGCTTGTGAACCTGCGTGACGTCGACGATAAAGGATCTAATGGCAAGCGCACGAGGACGATGGCCTGCTGCCTCACTGTTCATGGAGATTATGCAGCTGGTTTGGCCACCATGCTGTTCATCGGCCGACATCCCGACTCGCGGACTTACTGGAGCAGCAACTTGTGACATGGATCTTTACATCAGTCTGCGACTTCCTTGCTTCTAGATCAGACCTCATTGCGGTTCGTGTACCGGACGCACCCTAGCACTTGGACTTCGACACTTGAACTACTACTACGCTTCTTGGACTTCTACCTGTCGCAGCTGTTGAAGACCGCTTCCACCACCTACTCCAAAGACCTGATCAAGACCGCTGCATACCCCCTTTCAAGACACTTGGACACTTTGTTCCTACATGAGATTCTGCTTACGACTCCTTCGAACACACCAGCCCTTGCATCCTGAACAAAAAATTGCATTTATATTTTTCCTGACTTATACAACCCTGTAGAACATCATTAGCAAATCCCTGTTTCCCTAACCATTGTTCCCCGTACCCACTAGAACATCAATAGAAATACCCTGTTTTTCTGAACACCGTTCCCCTTGCCCAGTATAACATTAATAGAAGTTCCCTGTTCCCTGAACTTTGTTCCCCCTTAACCTATAGCAAACCATGCAGTCCCCTTAGTTCATTAGTAGGACTACCCTGCTCTCTTTCGTCCCTTTAGTTCATTTGTAGGACTACCCTATTCCCTACAACCCCCTCTAGTTCATCAGTAGGACAACCCTGTTCACCGGTACCAAACACCCTGTTCCCTCTTACTCCCGCATCCCATGCCACCCACATTATACCCGTCTTCCCTTTCGACTTGTTAACCAGTGATCGACCCCGTCCCGTCCTTCACAAATTTCAGCATTGCTTCACGATTTTTGGCAGCCGGGACGTTGCCTTCTAGAGGGAGGGGATAGTGTTACGGACTCCGCCAGGGCTCGATCCCTGGTCTATCTTTTTGTCGTTTCGGCTGCATCCCGCTTTCGGCCTGGCACCCTTTTTCCAAACCCCTCCTTTGGTACCGTAGGATTTTGGACAACTGGCGCCATGCTGCAATGTGGGTGCCACTTTCAAATACCGCATTTTTCAGCTCTGCCCTCGAAGCCTTTGCAGAAATGCCCTTGGTACCGTACGTGTCACCAGTGTCGAGCGCATCGGCTCCCGCCTTTTTTGCAAAGGTGCGGGAGCCCTCCCGACCGTGTCACGCAGGAGTTAGAACAAAAACATAAGAAAGAGACAACTTGGGGACGACGCAAAATAATCCCGTGAGCCGCCGAGACGACCGCGGTTGCGTCGTCCCTTTGCCGTTCTAGCCGGGTGCGCCAGCTATACATCCCACGGTCCCCTACGACAGGACAGGTTCCCGCGGGGCATAAGCTTTCTTCCTAAGGGGTTGTCACCACTCTTAAGGGCGTATCCCCACCGAGCTACTGACCCACGAGGTAGGTCAGCTGAGGGTGTTTACTCGCTCGCTGTAGTATAGGCACACGGGATTAAAACGCCTGTTGAACCCAGACGTCACTCGTCACTTAGGGCACTCATCTCCTAAGGGTAAAGCGTACGCTGGTCGACTAGGGCGGTTTCAATTAAGCGTGAAATCACAACACATCCCTAGTCCCATACATACCATACTCACATAAACATATATATATATTGTCACAGAGCTATTGACTAAGAGCGCAAGCACGTGAAGTAGAAGAAGAAATAAGATGAGCGAAGAAAAGAAAAATGAAAGGACAGACAGGCAAAGAGACAGACAAACCAGAATGACACAAAACAGTGTCCTCTTATTCTTTGTTTCACAGTATTATTATTTCTTTTAGTGTTTTACAAAAAACATTTTCACTGAATCAAAGGATAAAAATAAAAAACAAAGACACATTGAAATCATTCAGTTTCTCAGTCTTCTTAACGCCTCCTCCACTATGCCTATAACGTACAAGGCTCGCCACATTGATGAAGTTGAGCGCAAGCTGCCCCCATCCCCGTATGCCATAGCAGCCCACTTGCACGCTATGGGAAAGAGGCAGAGTGAAGGAAGAGCTGTTAAACACAAGGAAGAGAGGAGCAGAAAAGGAGATAGGCAGAGGGAGAAAAAACAAAGAAAAGGTGACCCAAACATCTTCTTTCTTTCACTGCATTCTTCTTTCTTTCACAGTTTTGCAGTTTTGGTGAAGAGTCTACCACGTTCGCTTTTCAGCGCACCTGCACTTCCTTCTTCATTTCTTATCTTCATTTTCACCCTTCGGACTTTTCTTTTGAGGGTGTTAGGGTGCAGGGTACAAACAAAGTGAGATGACACAAACTTATGTTATTCTTTTACTGCATTCTTCACAGTTTTAAATTTTTGGAGAAGGGTTCCCCACCTTTACACATTCTATTACAATCTTTTCAGCGCACCTGCAAATTTTTGTCAGGGTACAAGGTATATATGTATAACTTATCCGGGCGAGATCACACATGCTTAAGGCAATACAAGTGTATAATGTCAGCCTTTCAATCAATCATTTCAACAGTCGCTACAAAGAGATCATAGCGCAATGTTTAATATAGTTGATTTGGTCTGATGAAAAGATCATGCTACTGTGCTTTCCTCCTCGTCGTTTAATAAACAGTGTTGACACTGTGTCCAGACTATCATCGTTTCATTGTTTCTTGGATGTGATCTACTCGACTTTCCTTTATGACTGGTTGTGAGGATTGAGTGGAGTGAGTTGGACTTTCAGTGTACCCTGTCATATCGCATGGTCAAGTCTTCCGCTGTGTTTATCTCTCCCTATTGACGATTGTTGCTCAGAGGGGAGGCGCTGAGAGGCTATTTTTAGCCTGGCAATTCATCTAGAAACTGGCAATTGGCAAGGGAGTGATCCCAGGAGGTTGCGATTTTGGAATTTGGTCAGGATCCCCAATTTCCAAGCAGCGCAGAACAGGGTGATGTGGCGCTGCACTGAGTTTGTCCGTTATCTGCACCTGGGAGTTCAAATTCAGTGAATCGGTCAGTTGTGGGTGAAGCGCCTCAAGTTATCTACTGGATCACCAAGTTTCAGGAGGTTTGGTACGTGGGAACACTGGGAATCATTAGGAGATGAAACTGGCGAAATGGGGTTGAGCAGACAGCCATAGCCAGGGTTACACTCATCTTCTTCAAAGAATCTCTGAAGTAAGCGTGTTCCTTACTCTACTCTATGTGGTGATTCTGGAGCTATTTTTAGATTAGCGAAATATGGTATGTCGGTCAGTTGACAATTCAAAATCGAAATTCAGACTGTGGGATAGCCATAGCTAAATTCTCCTACCTATCTTCTTTGATTTCTACTAACCCTGTTTGACCTCCTTTCTTACTCAAATTTCATATGTGATTGTTTTACAGTATTGCGATTTATATTGTCCAGTGAATTGGTGAGTTGAGGGTCCTGTTGTCAGTGATAATGCAAATTTGAATTTTGTGCTGACATAGTTGAAGCTTGGCTAGACGAGGGTCAGTCATAACATCAATTTCGTCCGTCATAATTCAATTATGCCAGTCCCTGGTAAATCGCAATTCAGTATACAGTGATTGTCCGAAGTCGCACATTCAAATTTGATGTCCGGAGTCAGTTACTGTGAAAATTGTAGTTCGCCATACTCTGGGTATGGCATACAAGGTCAATCAGTGTTGAAGTCAGTAGGGTAAGTCTAAAAATAGGGTACCCTCTAAATCGCTACATCCTGATCATCAGTAGTCTACTGCCAGTCACTAATTGGTCACTTTGTCTAATTACTAACCAAAACTAATCAGTCCAGGACTGCATCCTTGAAGTTATTGATGCAAGATTTGTCATTATTGCATGCAATTGTTGGTTCAGCGCAGTGATGGGAAAATCGTGAAATGGATTTTTGCTGAGTTTACTCTAAACTGACCCTGACCCTCAAGCGGTCTGCAGAGATTGAGCACTCACTTGTTCAGACTAAACCCACTTTCTCTCTCCAGTCAAAAAATTCAATTACTGCTACCTCCTGTTTGTCTTATGTTTACTTGTTTATCTGAATTGTGGTGATGGCAGACACTGAGAAGGGAGAGGCTTCTTCTGTGAAGCCACAAATTTCGCTTGATTCTTTAGAGGCTGAACTGCGGGCCCAGGAGGAGAAACTTTGCCTACAGGCTCGGGCAGTTGAGGCTCTAAAGGCTGAGCTAAGGAGAAAAGAAGAGGCTGATCAAAAGGAAGCCAGGAGAAAACTCCTCATTGCAGGTGTTGGGAAAATCATAGTTAGTGGAAGTGCAAGTCAGTACAATAAGGATATAGCTGAGTTCGTCCTGTTACAGGATGAAATTCACCGTTCGTATTTTACTAACTGGGACGAGAGGATTACCAGA